CATTTTAGAGACTAGATGATAGTCTACAGATGAGGTACAAATGACTAGCAGTAGATGGCTTCATTAATACCTGGTAAGGGTAAACACATTAAAACTGATGGTTAATGTCTTTTCACCTTGATTATTGGTGGCACCTGGTCCTGTGCACAGCACAAAGGTCACAAAGTTAAGCAGCATTGGTCGTGGAGAGGTGTTGGATGGGTGACCGACAACCTTTTGCAGTTTGACTCTTGAGAGTTTCTTGGGCTTTCAGTGAAGCATGGGCAGCACATGTCGTGTCTCCTTAGGCAAGTGACTTTGTTTGACCTATATGCCGCTGTTCACCCAGCAGTAAAATGGGTACCCGGTAGGATGAAATAGTAATGTTACCGATAAACTTCTAGTGCCTGACAAGGCAGTATGGGTTGTTTTTTCCCCAGGGAGCTGAGAATGAAAATCAAGGGCACACTGATCCATTAACTGGGGTAATGATGTTAGCACTTTGGGCATGCACTGAAGGTATGGAGGCTTGCCCAATATAAGTGCTACTGTTATTATTAATGGCTTAGGTGAGTTTTCTGATTTTGTAGTTTGTGTGGTTGATGTTGGGTGGGTGTCTGTCTTCTTTCAGGTCAATCTTGGCATGTTCTGATGCAAACTCAAATCCATTGCTATAATAATTGAACAAATCCTCCATACTCCATACCCTCGCATGATGTATCCGCAATGTTTAGATTTTTCTTGGCAGTTGCTGTCATGTGCTGGTTGACATGTTGTTGATACACTGACTGGGATAATTGATGGTACTTGCATCATAGGAGGCGGACGCCACCAGCCACACCCTTCTGTTTCAACCTCCTGAAGGTGACATGGGTGGCCCAGTCATCTAAGGCACTGACTGCAATTGGGGCAGAGTTGTGAGGTGAAATGGGGTTTAACGTCGCGTCCAAGATTATTGCACTTATATAGCGACGTGCATGCATGTGTGTGTATGTGTGGCTGCTTGTACTAGTCCGGACAGATGCCGATTTATAGTGCTAGCTCACTGAGATACCATGCCGCAATATAACATGAATACCCCACTCAGACACAGTATACTCACTCTGAGCCGACCAGCCCTTGCTTTAGTACCTTAATGCCGAGCGCCAGACAGGGTAACAACAAGTATAATCTTTTTACATCTTTTGGTCTTTCTGCTCTCCAGGCGGACACTCTACCACCAGACCACAGAGCCGATCGATCATGGTTTAAATACTGGTTCGCCCTGATTATGTTTCTAGGTCTTTCAGCACCATACCCGTGTTCATGGGTTTCACCAAAGTGGTTAACGTTTGAGAAATGCATCACTTTGGGCTTTCCTCCCACATTAAGCTGACACGGTGATGTCACTGGAATACTGTTAAAGGCGGCACTAAACCCAATTCATTCACTCAACCGTGTGTGGCATCCTGAGAGTCCTGTAGGTATTTCAGTCTCTTATCACCTGGTTATATCTGAAGTAGTACAGGGTCACCTCTATCATACCTGTCAAGTCTGGAGAGAGAAAGTACCCTGTAGATGCCTCAGATCACACAGCAGCTCAGTGCTCATCATACCAGCAACAAGATTAACAACATTTCACCACACGTTTTTTTCTTCACATTATCTTCTCTTTGAAACAATCTACCTCTCACTATCAAGGAATCTATAACAATAGGCAGCTTCCGTCAAGACTGAAAACATTCTAGTACCAGAAATACCATGCCGATGTCTAGTTGTTCATATAACAGTTGTAATATGGACCTGTGAAGATCTGGGGTAGAATAGGTCTTCAGCAACCCATGCTTGCCTATGAGATGACTACACTTGTAGTAAGAGTGAGTGAGTGGGTGAGTGAGTGAGGTTTTATGCCCCTGTTTTTCCAGGAATATCACGGCGGGGGACACCTGAAATGGGCTTCACACATTGTACCCATCGTATCCCAATTGCGTGGATCGATGCTCATAATGGCAATCACTGGATTGTCTGGTCCAGACTCGATTATTTACAGACCGCCGTCATATAGTTGGAATATTGCTGAGTGCAGTGTTAGGCAACAAATGAACAAACAGCTGTAATAAGAGTGGTACAAGGCTAAACACCGTCTCCAGCGCTACACGTGACTAACTGCCATTATCTATGGTTTTATCACTTGTGTGTATATCTGTAGCACAATAAGCAACCATTTGGTGATTAGATATTAGTTGCATTATAAATTGACTTAATATTATGGATGGCTTACTGCAGTGGAGTAATCCCCATGGGGAGTCCGGGTTGGAATTGGTCCCCAGCAACCTGTACTGATCGTAAGAGGAGACCAAATGGATCGAATGGTGTGGCTCTGTGACTGGGTTCATAGCGTGTCATCATACCCCTGTGCCAAGGTTCATTGTTCACAATATTGATTACTATAATGTCTGGTCCAGAGTCAATGATTTACAGACCATCGTCATTTTGCTGGAATATTGCAGAGTGCTAGGGTAAACAACAAACAAACATAAAGTATTATACATACATCTGACTTACACTCCTGCGTCACTTGTCTTGGCAAATACTGTATAGAGTACCCTTCAGTTTTCTTCTTTTATGATTGGGCGGTCGGGTAGCCTTGTGGTTTAAGCGTTAGCTCGTCACGCCAAAGACGCGGGTTCGATTCCCGACATGCGCACAATGTGTGAAGCCCATTTCTGGTGTCCCCGCCGTGATATTGCTGGAATATTGCTAAAAGCGGCATAAAACCAGACTCACTCACTCACTCACTTTTATGATTATTCACTCCAGTAAGCCTCTGACAGACACTCTTCCTCACAGGCAAATCCTAGTTCTCCTCTTATCCTCAAAGGACCAGGTTTTGCATACCCCACTGACTTGTGTGTCCTAGTCTTGCCTCAACCTCCACAATCACCGTCACCATCTCCTGCTCCGTCACTAACCTTAACAATAACCACCTTTCCATCCTGATCTTTTCACTTACCTCCACCATCACCATCTCCCCATACTGATCTTTTCACTCACCTCCACCATCACCATCTCCCTATCCTGATCTTTTCACTAACCTCCACCATCACCATCTCACCATCCTGAACTATTCACAAATATCCTCCATATTTAAACCACATCCCCGTCCCAAATCGTTTCACCATCCTCCATCACCACCATCAACATCTCTCCAACCCAGTCTTTTCACAAACTTCCACCATCTCCCCATCCCAATCTTTTCACAAACTTCCACCATCTCCCTATCCCAATCTTTTCACAAACTTCCACCATCTCCCCATCCCAATCTTTTCACAAACTTACACCATCTCCCCATCCCAATCTTTTCACAAACTTACACCATCTCCCCATCCCAATCTTTTCACAAACTTACACCATCTCCCCATCCCAATCTTTTCACAAACTTCCACCATCTCCCCATCCCAGTCTTTTACCTAACTTCAACATATCCACGTCCTGATCCCAATCTTTTCACTAACCATGACCATCTCCATTTTCCTAACATTTAACTGAACCCCACTATTTCAACCTCCCAATCTCGACCTTTACAACCTCCACCATCACACTACCTCAAGGCAATCTTTCCTATCATCACCATCACCATGCCACCTAGCCCTAACCTCCTTACCATCAACAACTGTCTCCATCCTACTCCTCTATTTGTCACATCACCATGTAGCCAGATGGTGGTCAAGTCCTCTGGTCAACAACTACAGTTGTCTGTGACAAACACAACATCCAAATAAAGATATCCCCTTATCTAATAAAGAAATTCCTGGAGGGAGAATTTTAAGACCAAGAACTCTTCATTGTGTCTTTCACATAGTTCCCACATTTGTGGCCCTCACTCTAATCCCTAGTAATTGGTTCAGTAGTTTAAAGATGCCAATTCCTTAAATTTTAGCCAGAGGTGCAATGTTCTTCCTAAAAGATGGACACTGAACATTTCTGGTCATGTATGAATATTTATCAAATGAACCGGTACCAGAACCAAAATAGTCCCCCTTTTCAACTCATTAACTCTGAACTTGCCCAAAGCTGTGAAACCCACTCACATGGAATAATTCAACCTCGTTTTGTAACATATATAGGTGAACTATGTTTCACAAATGTGTGAACATTTGGGGGATCCTGAAATAATGAACTAGGTGATGTCAAAATAGATCCAGTACAACTGACACTGAGACACTGAACTGCAGAACTTGTCCACACAGTGAATCAATTTGTTCACCTATGACGAAGGACAGTTTAAAAAGATGAAACATAATGTGTGACATGCAGATATCTATTTTGAAAGGCAGTTTAAACATTTATAAAAATATGTGTTACAGACACCTTTGTTGAAGCAGGGCATAGAAAGTTTAAAAAGAGGAATAAAAGTTGAAACATTGTGCTACATACATATATCTTTGTTGAATAAATTGTATTGAAAAGTGGAAACATTGTGTTACATATAGAAATCTTTGTTTTTGAAGCAGGGCATAGAAAGTTTAAAAAGTTTGAATGTTGTATTACATGCAGATATCTTTGTACAGTACTCAACCATGCCCCACCCATCCACATCACACCCATCCATGCCCCACCCCCCCACCCATCCATGTCACATCCATCCATGCCCCTCCCCCACCCATCCATGTCACACCCATCCATGCCCCACCCCCCCACCCATCCATGTCACACCCATCCACATCACACCCATCCATGCCCCATCCCCCCACCCATCCATGTCACACCCATCCATGTCACACTCATCCATGTCACACTCATCCACATAACACTCATCCACATAACACTCATCCATGTCACACCCATCCATGTCACACTCATCCATGTCACACTCATCCATGTCACACCCATCGACGTCACACTCATCCACATAACACTCATCCACATCACACCCATCCACGTCACACTCTTCCATGCCACAGCCATCCATGCCCCACCCATCCATGTCACACCCATCCACGTCACACTCATCCATGTCACACCCATCCATTTCACACCCATCAATGCCCCACCCCCCCACCCATCCATGTCACACCCATCCATGTCACACCCATCCATGTCACACTCATCCATGTCACACCCATCCATGTCACACTCATCCATGTCACACCCATCCACATCACACTCATCCATGTCACACCCATCCACATCACACCCATCCATGCCCCATCCCCCCACCTATCCATGTCACACCCATCCATGTCACACTCATCCATGCCCCCCCCCCCCCCCCCCCCCTCCCCCCCCCAATCCACATCACACCCATCCATGTCACACCCATCGGCGTCACACTCATCCACATAACACTCATCCACATCACACCCAACCAGGGCACACTCATCCATGCCACAGCCATCCATGCCCCACCCATCCATGTCACACCCATCCATGTCACACCCATCCATGTCACACCCATCCATGTCACACTCATCCATGTCACACTCATCCACATCACACTCATCCATGCCACAGCCATCCATGCCCCACTCATCCATGTCACACCCATCCATGTCACGCTCATCCACATCACACTCATCCATGCCACAGCCATCCATGCCCCACCCATCCATGCCCCACCCATCCATGTCACACTCATCCATGCCCCACCCATCCATGTCACACTCATCCATGCCCCACCCATCCATGTCACACTCATCCATGCCCCACCCATCCATGTCACACCCATCCATGTCACACTCATCCATGCCCCACCCATCCAAGTCACACTCATCCACGTCACACTCATCCATGCCCCACCCATCCATGTCACACTCATCCATGCCCCACCCATCCACGTCACACTCATCCACATCACACTCATCCATGCCCCACCCATCCACATCACACTAATACATGTCCTAACCATCCATGTCACACCCATCCACGTCACACTCATCCATGCCCCACCCATCCATGTCACACCCATCCATGCCCCACCCATCCATGCCCCACCCATCCATGTCACACTCATCCATGCCCCACCCATCCATGTCACACTCATCCATGCACCACCCATCCATGTCACACCCATCCACGTCACACTCATCCATGCCCCACCCATCCACATCACACTCATCCATGCCCTAACCATCCATGTCACACCCATCCACGTCACACCCATCCATGCCCCACCCATCCATGTCACACCCATCCATGTCACACTCATCCATGCCCCACCCATCCATGTCACACCCATCCATGCCCCACCCATCCATGTCACACTCATCCATGCCCCACCCATCCATGTCACACCCATCCATGCCCCACCCATCCACTTCACACCCACCTGCATTTCATCCTTCCCCTCCTATCCACCAGCACACTTGTCCACCCTTCATGATTACTGCCCTCACCATTACTCCCTTCCCATCTGAGTTGATGTTTAAGATGATGAATACATACATAGAAAACAGAGAAAAATATGTTCAATACATAGGATGACATTCCAAGACCCAGTTGCCACCAAAGTTAATCATGAAGATGAGATGCAAATACGTAAAAGGAATTTGTTGATGAAGCTGTGAGTCAGAGTTGGATGTCTTTAGATGAAACTACAAATGTCCTGTTTTTTAATGGAGCGTCACATCATCTCTGCTTCAACAAATGTCCAGAGTTCTGCATTTGTGCATTTGAAGACTGACTAATTAAAAGCAAACAAGCGATGGCTGTTAACGGCTAAATTGTTACTTTTAACAGGGCATGTCTCCAACGATAAACGTTACTCTTTTGTTGTCAGCATTATTTGCACGTGCTTCAGTGCCACAAAACAATAAAATGGTAAAAGATAGCCCATTGACTTTATTTACTGCTACAGCATGCTGCATTAATTGCAAGTGTTTGATGGTTAACACAGAAACTGTTTTAAAACACGATCAATACCAATATATTTAGTGAATGTTCAAAGATCAACACAAATGACCAATGGTCAAACCCCACCTGACCCTGGTCTCCAACGAGGCCTGCAAGCCCAGGTTAAAATGGACCCCTAATAGGGACATATGGCCTCATTGGGATATCCTTTAAGTGCTTATTGTCCCAGAGGGTCATTGAGGATTCCCGGAGATTTGCTTTGTTAACGCAGCATTTTGTCAACGAGCATCGATCTAACACTAGCAGTCACTCAACACACAAACACCACGTTAGACATTTAAAGACATTTTTCATAATTTAGATACCTGGCTTTCCGAACAGCCGTGACCAATTATTTCTGCCTTGTGCAGGGTGCTAATGTTTCCCATTACAATTAGCTGCTTGTGTTGGATTCCAATTTAATAACATTTCCATAATTCTATCGAGACTGGGATTAACCAAAAAGGTATTTGATATCGCAGGTTTAGAGTAAAATGCAGTCTAAATGTTTCTCGAGTCGTTAATCTTCAAAGTTCATTAAGAAACAGAATACGTCACAGATGCAATTCAGTAATCTTCACAAAATTAAGATTGCGTGAAATGAGTTTGATTCTCTACCAAACTCAATTAACACTCAATAAGGATGGTCCGATTTTTTAATGATCATCAGAGAAGAGTGTTGTTTTAATTGTTGAAACCACATCTGTTTTAAGTAGTATGAAATCACAAGATTTGGATTTTATTACCGAATCTGCAAATAATTAGATGATTTTAATCCCTTTATTCATAAAAATCATTAGTTGGTCCAAAATTTTGACCATGTTGATTTAATTACAAATTTCAAAGGAAATATGAAACATTTTAAAACAATAATTGGCATAGGTTTGTGAAGTTCAGATTCATAGAGACTTGTAGGTTAATTCCCGAGACATCTGCCCATTCCTCTTAGTAATGAATGCCAAGCTTTTAGTTCATCCATGGATTAGGAGTCCAGGGACAATTAAGCACCTGCTGGATTTCTCAATGTATAGTTTGAATATTCACTGAATATACATGTGTAATGAACCGATATGTGTAGCTCCTCTGGCATAATGGGAAAGGATTGTTTAATATGTAATAAAATATACAAAAGATGTTTTGTTATTATTGATATTGTTAATGGAACTACTATTGCACTATGTTGGCATTGATATACAATAAAATGTTGTTTTGTAATGGTCAATAGTCTTATTTTTCTTAAAGAAATAAAGTTTGCTCTACATCCATGTGTAGTGTAATAAAATATAGTTTGGCCCTGAACTGGTATAGTTAAAGTACTTGTCCCGAGTATACATTATAGATCAAGGGGAAGGTCATTTTCGGCATCATGATGTAACATAAAAAGTGTACTTTATCACAGTTTAAAGTAGTCGGCACCTTCGATCTTTCAGCAAAGCATCTTAGAATTATTGATAGATAATAGCATGTACATAAAGATTAGTATGAGACTAGTTTTCCATTGTGACACAATAGTGTGTTTTAACTTGTTATTTCAAAAATTTTTGGCTATAAGAGGTTAAACAAGATATACAATTTTGGTAAAGTTATGAAAATATTTGTCAATAGTTTTATAGTTTATAATATTAAGTTTAGAAAAGATGATTTGTGAAAACAAATTCAACATGGAGGGTCTGATAAGAGAGAACAAACAACTGGACAGAACTTAATCTTGTATTTAGGGCAGTGGGTGAATGTTAGGTGGTTCCAACTTTCACTGATCAGAAGGAAGGCCTGGTTTTCAGTTGCCACATGAAAACAATGTGAGAGGCCTATTCTTTTTTTTATCGCTTTATTATTTTTCTTGGGTACAGATAGGACATGTTATTTCAATACTATATTTCATTATGTTGGTCAATATGAGTATATGAAGTTATTCTATTGTGATACATATTAAATACATGTTAGATACATTTGTCAATGTGTATAGGTCCCAAGCAATCTATGCTTCCAGGTAAGAATATAGGTCACCAGCAACCTATGCTTGTCTCCCTGTGGGGTCATGGTTATGCAAAGAGGTTGTGGCATGACGACCAGAAGCCCATTCTTGCCCTCCATCTTGCTCATGCTATATTGGACCCTTGGGGATTCCAGGTTAGAATATAGGTCCCCAGCAATCTATGCTTGTCTAGCTCCCTGTGGGGATTCCAGGTTAGAATATCGGTCACCAGCAACCTAGCTATGCTTGTCTCCCTGTGGGGATTCCAGGTAAGAATATAGGTCCCTAGCAACCTATGCTTGTCTCTCTGTGGGGATTCCAGGTAAGAATATAGGTCCCTAGCAACCTATGCTTGTCTCCTGGTGGGGAAACCAGGTAAGAATATAGGTCCCTAGCAACCTATGCTTGTCTCCTGGTGGGGAAACCAGGTAAGAATATAGGTCCCTAGCAACCTATGCTTGTCTCCTGGTGGGGAAACCAGGTAAGAATATAGGTCCCTAGCAACCTATGCTTGTCTCCCTGTGGGGATTCCAGGTAAAAACATATAGGTCCAGACTCAACTATTTACAGACCACTGTCATATTGATGAATATTGCTGAGTTAAGCAAAAAAACACCCCAAAAAACAAGCAATATTGCCTCATTCACTCCAATCAATCTGTTTAAAAACACACCTGCACATTGGTTAAGTCAATGAGATATGAAGAAAGAACTAGGTAGGAAAATGTACACTATAACTGCCCCCAATAAAATTCCTGAACAAATGTGATTTGATTTAATATTTCATATTCTAGTATATCAGTATACGTGAAGATCCGGGTTAGAATAGGTGTTCAGCATTCCATGCATGCTGTAAAAGGCGACTATGCTTATGTAAGAGGCGACTAACGGGATCGGGTGGTCAAGCTCGCTGACTTGGTTGATGCATGTCATTGTATCCCAATTGCTTGGATCGATGCTCATGATGTCAATCACTGGATTTTCTGGTCCAGACTTCATTATTTACAGACTGTGGCCATATAGCTGGAATATTGCTGAGTGCGGCGTTCAACAGCAAACAAACAAACAAACAAACAAACTGATATTATATTACCTCAGAGTTGTCTAATTGCTAAATAGATGGTATGTGCAGGATGTTGTTTCTTTGTTTCATCATGGTACAGGATAATAATACAAGGCGCAGTGATGTTCACAGCAAACTGCAGCACTCAGGACACCATTACTTGGCCATCTAGGCCCCTGATGTGTTTTGACTCCAGTTAGTGCACATGCACAATTTAAGTGTTGATTATTCATGACATTGGCATTAATTGTGTCATATTTTGATGGAGATCACATGATTCATGTTTGTGTGCAAGTGATGTTTGTGTAATTGTTTTGTCTACTCAGTGGCAGATGGCAGATGTACAATATGTAGGCCCATTCTCATTGTGTAGTCTGGTATCATTGGTATTATCGTATGAAGGTGTTTACCATTTCCTGCCTCCTTTGGCTTGATCATTTTTCTCTTGCTCCATTTCACTCACTCACTCACTCACTCACTCACTCACTCACTCACTCACTCACTCACTCACTCACTCAGAGAATAGGTGTTCAGCAACCCATGCTTGTCGTAAGAGGCGACTAACGGGATCAGATTGTCAGACTCACTGACTTGGTTGATGCAAGTCATCGTATCCCAATTGTGTAGATCGATGCTCATGATGTCAATCACTGGATTGTCTTGTCCAGACTTGATTATTTAAAGACCGTCACTCACTCACTCACTCAATCACTCACTCACTCACTCACTCACTCACTCACTCAGAGAATAGGTGTTCAGCAACCCATGCTTGTCGTAAGAGGCGACAATGCTTGTCGTAAGAGGCGACTAACGGGATCGGATTGTCAGACTCACTGACTTGGTTGATGCAAGTCATCGTATCCCAATTGTGTAGATCGATGCTTATGATGCCAATCACTGGATTGTCTTGTCCAGACTTGATTATTTACAGACCGTAAC